AATGTGTATTCTGTTGTTGTTGGGTAGAATACTCTGTATGTATCTATTAATACAATTTGTTCAAAGGTTTGGTTCAACTGTGATATTTCTCCTGGGTGCTGGTCTCCTCCATCAGGCTGATCTGTTGGTTATCACCTCTGTTGCCCTATGCTATGGAGAACCAGGGGCTGGGGGCACCTGGATCCCAGATCCTCCTGGCCCTGGTGTGGGTCCTGCTGGATGTCAGCATTTGGGGGTAGGGCCTGTGCTTTCTAGGTCTTCCTGGGGCCCTGGCAGGCATCTTTGTTGGCTGGGTTGGATATAACTTTAAAACATTGACAGGGATCCCTTGGCTCAGCTGAGCACAATAAAATCTAAGTTAGAGTTTATCATTCAGCGAGGATAGACCAAGCCAAAGGATGCCAACCTAAAGAACTCTCTCTCTCTGGAATCTCCTGGGCTTTGCTTTCTATCTCTATCCATTTTTCTTCCCTCCCCCAACTATTCCATGACCTTGAGAGTTGTCCTCCTCCCTATAGATTAAGTTCTCTGTCTCTGCACCCCTGCCTTGTTTTTTTGAGTCATCTTGCTTTCAGGCTGGCCTTGAACTCACTGCATAGCCCAGGCTGACCTTGAACTCACAGTGATCTCCTCTCTCAGCTTCCCAAGTGCTAGGATTACAGGTTTACACCACCATGCCCAGCCTTAATATACTGGTTCTCAAAAAAAAAATATGCATAAAGTCCCCTGAGATTTGAAGGGATAGTTCCATTAAGTAAATGAAAATAAACACGTAATACAGGATGTTTTATATTAGCTTGCAAAGAGGAGAGGGATTGACTACTCAGCAAAGGTAGTCCACATTTTAGCCAGAGGTAGACAAGTGTGGGTTCTGAGGCCTGCTGGGCTCCTGCAGCTAGCAGGTGGTCACTGTGGGCCTTGGGCCCTCTCCTTTCTGACTCCAGACTGTCCTCTGTCCTCATTGACAGTCTGTCTGAGAGGTAATTCCCAGGTACCTAGAAAAGACCCCTTCACGCTCTCCATGCCTGCAATCCTGTCCTTACCAAGTCACCTCTTCATGAGAAAGGCTTTCTCCTCTTTTGACTCAGTGTCTCAGCGGGGCACCGGGGCCCAGCTTGTCCTTGGGTTGCCTGCTTAGCATTCAGCAACTCCTCCTGCTCCAAAGCCCGCACTCCCTCTCTGGGGACTCCTTGATGGCTGCTTCTCCTTTGGAGGGAGGATACACCTAGCCCTGTTCCTTTGAACCATGAAGAAGAGGAGACACTTTGTCATGATCCCAGCAGCTGCCTCAGGTTACACCCACTTCTGGGATATTGTCTTTAACACATTGTTCATATGGTCCTAGGGGAAGGGTGGGCCTTTTGTTTTAGTCCTTTAATTAAAATCTTATAAAATGTGATACACTACCCAGTGGATATGTGTATTGCCCACTAGGAATTAAGACCATTATTTTTAATAGTTTCATGTGGATGGTAAAGTGATTAATAAAAAAATCTAGAGCTGTGTGAGTTGAGAGGATTAAAAAAATAAAAAAGACACAAAACATGCCTTTGTTAACACTCACATATTTATTTAAATGTGTATAGTGAATCTGCCCTCCTTTTATTCCAACAATTCCTTTCATAAAGAAAAATAGGTGGAGTAATATGAGTCAAAGCAAATTCAGTATTAATCTTGTCTCTTTTTTCTGGGTCCCTTTTCTGTTTTGGCTTCTCACAAAGTAACTCCTAGTGCTTGGATGAACCACTTGAGAGGGATGAGATGCAGAATTCCATGTTCATAGAACTGTGGAATTTTTATACCGCAAAGGAAACCTGGAGACCCTAGAAGAGTCTGTTTGATGGTTGTGGAAAGTTCAAGCTTTCCCCAAGATTACACAGCTAATGAGAGGCAGAGTTTAGACGGGGACTCGGGTTTCCTGGCCCTCCATTTAAAGCTCTTTCCAATGTTGCTTCTCAAATTCTTCCATAGGAAGTTCAATGAAATGATTTGTTTCATGTTTCTTGTGGTTGGAAACATGAGCTTCTCAGTATCCCCAGCTTCAGGGGAGTCAGGGTCAAGTGTGGAAGTCAAAGCCCTGGCCTTGTTGGAATCAGGAATTGAGCCGGTGGTGAGGGACTCTGGGTTTAAGCTGAAGAACAGGGTCGTAGCAGACCATCAGGACAGAGCAGTGAGGGATGGCAGGAGGTGAGGAATTCCCAGGAAGCCCCATGGTTGGCCCAGGCCAGGAACCTGTCACATCTGTGCCTCTGCCTGGATGACCCCTGCCCTACTTCTCTGGGATAATTAGCTCAAAATGCCACACTTTCCACACGTAACTGGGAGCCATCAAAGAGACCCTAGTGTTTTGAGGGAATCACTTCAAACAAGAGAACAAAAGTTCTTGAAGTAAACAGAATCAGTTTGAAACTATTTCAAACTACAGTTGGAGATAGTTGTAATTTTACTTTTCAGTTGGAATCTGGAGCAACTTTTCACTATTTTACTTCATTTCATTAAAAAAAAAAAAAAAAGTACTATAAAGATTGGCCTGGTGCACTCACAGGTCTTCACCTCCTTATTTGGCCCTTTGGGAGAGCACTTCACCGTGTTCTCTTCCTTGTCAATTATTCCAGTGATTTTTGTGGAACTCCTCACAAGACCTCTGTCTATTCCTGGCCATGGTAACTAAGGATTTCTGTGTTTAAGACTAGTAGTATTTAACCTGATAGTACTGACAGAAAATAATTTATTTTAATAGCCAGAAGGCTTTTATTTTTAAGTTGTGTTTTATACTGTGAGATTTCTTTTCTTTCCTTTTTTTTTGGATTTTTGAGACAAAGCCTTGCTATATAGTTCAGGCTGGCCTTGAACTCACAGTGTGACCCAGGATGACCTTGAACTCACGGCAGTCCTCCTGCCTCAGCCTCCTTAGTGCTGGGATTATAGGTGTGTGCCACCACGCCTGGTTTATACTGTGAGATTTCTATCCCAGTGGTTGAGATGCTAACTATGCTTAGGTTGAATTTTTAGAAGCCTCTTACACTTCACAATGGGAAATATTTTCCCTTTCTTTTCCAATTCAAAGCTTTCTTGGTAGAAGATAAAATATAGGTGGCTCTCCGTTTCCTTGGGTTCTGCATCTGTGGATTCAAATAACCACAGGTTGAAAAATACTTGGGGAAAACTTTTTCTATACTGAACATGCACAGACCTTTTTCTCTGTTGTTAGTCCTACAGAATACAGCATAGCTACTATGTATGTAGTATTTACATTGTATTAGGTATTGTAATGTAGAGATGGTTCAAAATATACAGGAGTATATGGATCAGCTATATGCAAATACTGTACCATTTTATATAAGGGACCTAAATATCCTTCGGTTTTGGTATTTGTTCAGGGTTCTGGAGTCCATCCTCCAAGGATAATGAGGGATGACTATAATTTGTTTCTAAGCATAGGAATGGGGATGATATTCTTTGAAAGTCCACCTTGGTGTTGATTTATAAAGAATTTGCAGACCCAGTCTTCTTAGAATATACTTTTAACTGTAAAAGAAAATGGAAAAGAACGCCACAGCCGTAATAAATGAAATTTAATTCATTGTTGAGAATGGCTTTGTTACTCCCTGAGTGTAAATCTTCTCCAGTTGATTTGGACTCTGTTATAAGCTGGATAAATAAATATATAGAAATTTACTATGTATTGATTTTGCATACATAGACCATTATCTGAATGTGACTTTTAATGCATAAAACCTATGGAGAAATTAAAATAGAGCATTCACTTATGCTGTAATCTTCTCATCAATTTCTGTAGGGCCAAAGAACTTTTTATAATAATAGGAAAAAGCTTATATGCAAATAATGGATGGATTTTGATAGGTTTCTAT